ATAAATCTTTAATTTTAACATTTGTTGTTTTCGTATTCGGATTTAATTTGAATACCGAAAAAAAGTATTCGTAATTTGGAGAAATTTTAAATTAAAAATTCAATTTTTAAAATTATTGTCATTTTTTATAGCATTTAATATATACGTTTATTAAATAAGATGTTGAAAATTCAAGTTTTAGCTGAGCCAATGATTATTTATTAATTTCTTGCTCACAAAATTTGAGGTTTACATTCACGAACTTTTTTCCGTGATTTCTGTAATGCGTTAAATATTTCTTAACGTATTTTTAAATTATATATTTATAAACATTTTTAAATTACATTTAAAATGTATTTAAATTAAATGTTTAGAAATAGTTACTAAAACAATATTTAAATATTTAAATATTTATTAATGACAACAACAAACGCTACGTTCTTTTTTTGTTTTTGGATGCGATTGCTGTCTCCTTTCTCTTCCGCTATCTCTAGTGTTGAATAAGCGCCAAAAGCGTGATTCATTTTGATAAAAAATCGAAATAATCTCCATCATGGAGAGTCATTTCTTATTGATTTCCATGAGTTACATCCACGGTATTTATTTCGGTGCCTTATTGAAAATTGAAAGTTCTTGTTACACAGTCGAAATTAATCTTTCGAGTTTTTTTTGCTGTTCTCGCAAGTTTTAATTTTGGCAATAAATCAATGACGGCCACTACATATTTGAAAATTGAGTTGTAAAATTATATCAATAATATTTTTTGAGAAAAGATTTTTTTTTTGCTAAATGTTCTTCCATTAGTAACAATATTAATATCAATGCTGTCTTAATAACAATAAGACTTATGTATTATAAAATAAACATGGATATAATGATTAATTAAACAATATATCAATTATCAAGTAAAATGAATTTAAGTTTTATATCAGTAATTTACTTATTTTTTGACGAGTATTTTAACAAAAATATGGTTACGAACGTATATATATTTAATTTTGTAACTTTTAATCTATTTTAACAAATTATTTTTAGGTACTGGACATCCCACTATTCTCTGGAATATTATAATTTGTTTAGTTGTAGCAATTTATACTTCTTTATAATGAAATACATGCATATATTATGATATTTATTTGATAAATTTAAATTTTTATTGATTTCCAATTAGATAATTTTACACAACAGATTTGTACTCTTTTATTTTATAATTCTTATACATAAATGCATGAATACATGAATGTAATTAAAAATGTACGGTTACAAAAAATTCGAGATTAGTCAAATGGGTACTCCCATATTAGTGGGATATCAATAACTAAAATTTTTAAATTGTCGAAACATAGGAAATTATTAAATTTTATATTTATAGAGTTTTCAGTACAAAATTCTTTAAAATATCCCGCTATTATCGGATTTGACTCATCTCGAACAGTTGGTGCCCGAGAAATATTTGTACCCGTACATATACGTATAATAAGATATAATATCGCATGTATTTTATTATTAAATGTATTCCTTCGTAACCATAATTCCATGTAAGAATCATTCTATTTATGCATTTTTCAATGAGGAAGAACATTTTTCGTATGTGAATTTATGTATACAAGGTGCGATAACAGTCATTGATGCGCTATTAAAATCATTATTATCATTATTATCGTAAGCAATTTGGAAGATTTAGTATTCGTTCCCTCCTGTAACAGAACCGCTAACGCTTAATGAATCGCTTAACTTTTTGTTGTGGATGGACTTTGCGAAATTCAATATAGAATTAGAGCATATTACGTTTGCTCTCCATCATGAAGATTGTTCTTTTTTGTGTCGGATACTAATTTATGTACATTCGGTGAAGGGACCTCGATGTGACCAATTATCCATCTTTGTTCGCGGAAAAATCGCTATCATTTCACGCTATTAAGATTCATAAAACTTTAGAATGTAAACCTTGAAGGCAATCATTCATACGCGTTTGATAGATTGTTTAAATTATATTTTACTAAAATAGAATATAAATGCGCTTTCATAAAAAAACGCAAAATGTAGAATTGTATTAATTTTTAACAAGCAATAATAGTTGTAAATAATTCATATTACATTAACATTAGATTTTACCTTTTTCGAAAACTAGTATTGTGAGTATTGTCAATTGATTTATTCATTGTCTGTACTAACTTCTTATCGCGATTTAACTTCTAATTTAATCATTGGCTTACTCTAAAGCTTTGCTTATTTTGTGTATTGAATATTTCTGTAACATTTTTTAACAATAGGTCAATGTTTGAACGACAGAAAATCATAACACATAAATTTATTATCGAAATTTTTGGTTGCAATATTGCTCGCATTAGATAAAATTTAATAAGTTTCGTATAATCGCAAGTTGATGATAAAAAATAAATATTTAATTATCGTCAATTTTTATTATTCAATATTTCAGTAATGATAAATTTAATAAAATTCATGTTATCATATGTATTTTTGACGCTTTTATATAATTCTGCAATTTTTTATTATGTTACTAATAATGTTATTTTTATTATATTTTAAACAGCGTTTTGTAATTTTTATAACATCTTTATTACATGATAAATAACGTATTTTGTAATTATTGTATAAATATAAATTATAATATAAAATTAAATATATTGTAAATTAATACATACTATCCAGGTAGCAAGCTAATGTTATTTGTCATCAGTTTGCAACCTGGGAAAAAAAGAGGACCGCTGATTAAAATCGGCGGGGGTGGTGGAGGGCCTCTACGGGCTAATTCGTTTTAGCCCAATAAAAGTTTGTCTAAAATCCCAAATCTAAAATATATGAGAATCTTTTCAAATATTCTCGAGCTTTGTAGTTATAATTATGTACTTTGTATATTGAAACTTACTTATAATTATGTACTTTTCATACATTTTCATTGTACATTTTGATATCAAAATACATTATAAAATACTATATGTTTATATAAATACATATAAACTTAAAAAAATACATATCACCTAGGTAGCATCATAATGTTATTTGTCATCATATTGACGGCATATAGCTACTTTGAACAAAAGAGGACCGTTAATTAAATTAGCGGGGGTGGTGGAGGGTTTTTACTTGCTAATTTGTTTTAGCCCAATTAAATTTTATATAAAATCTCAAATTAAAAATATATAACAAGACTTATCAAAAATACATATAAAGAAAATTTATCAAGTATACTCGATCTCTGTCGTTATGATGTTATGATTATATAATACTTCTTATGTATATTGAAACTTTTTATTGTATATTTTGATATCAAAATATATTATAAAAAATAAAATATAAATGTATGTAACCTTAAAAAAATACATATCCCAAGTATCAAACTAACGTTATTTGTCATTATACTGGCATTAGTTTGTTACTTGAAACAAAAAAGAGGACCGTTGATTATAATCTAAAAATATATAATATAACGGGGGTGGTGGTGGGCCTTTTCGGGTTAATTCGTTTTAACCCAATAAA